ACCTGATTTTAAAGCCCCTGAGAGAGAACTGTGCCTGTTCAGATCACAGAAAGTGAGATGCAGTAATAAACAATTATAGTTTCTCAAGACACTAAGTGTGTTAGGAAGAACAGAAGTCCTGTTCTCCCTCTGCTTTCCCTCCACAAAAATCAATACAGAAGAATTCTGTGACCACAAAAAGGTGTGGCGATTTCTCCCCAGTAGCAAGTAAGCAATTATTTCTGCTGCAGCAGACACCAGCTGGCTGTCCTTGAATTCAATCCAAAGCTCAGTTCTGACACTATTGACTTTGAGATAGTGTCTGATCCAAAGAACATCCCCACTTCAAACCCTGCCGCCAGATCTTCTACCCCATGTTTTACAGTCGGATTAATTTGCTAGAGTGATGCACAGAACTCAGGGAAACTTTAAACTTAACGTTTATTGATTTTTTTATAAAGAATATTACAGGGGCTGGTGTTGTGGCTTAGTGGTAGAGAGCTTGCCTAGCATGCGTGAGGCACTGGGTTCGATCCCCGGCACCACATAAAAATTAAAAAAAAATAAAATAAAGGTATTGGGTCCATCTACAACTAAAAATATATTTTAAAAAATAATATTACAAAGAATACAGATGTATAAGGTGAAGCATGTGGGAAAGGGCATAGAAGTCCCATACCCCTCTTGGGCACTATTCTCCAGACACCTCCATATGATTAGCTCAGAACCCCATCCTTTTGGCTTCATTATTTAGTCAGAATTAATTAAATCACTGGCCACTGGTGATCAATTTAACCTTCAGTGCTTCTTCTGTTCCCCGGAGACTCAGTGGTAGGATGGAAATTCCCAACTTTCCAATCCTGCCTTAGTGCGTCCTGTGACCAGTTCCCTTATTAAAGCCATCCAGAGGCTTCCAGCCCTGACTGACTCATGTGTACACAAAAAGATGTGATTACTTCAGAAATTCTGAGGACCTTAGAGTTTTATGTCAAAAATAGGAATGGAGGTAAGAAGCCGGTCCAAGATGGCTCTAGTTAGCTTGGTCACTGAGACTTCCAGGTCCCTGTGTTTTAGTATGAGGTCAAGGTCATAAACACCCTGACCCAGCATTTGTGCTCTAGGTCATAAATCTGCTTGTGAGCATACACTCACTATGTAGAATCAGACACATGCTTTTAAGTTGCTCAGCAAGGCAAACTTTACTTCTGTAGAAGGGCATGCTACTGAGCCTGGCAAGCAGGCAATTTGGGCGGGCAGTCCCCCTGTTTTTATCACACTGCCCCTGGCTCTGATGGTAATAGCTTGGGGCTACAATCTAGGAGACTGGGTAATTTTTAAAATTGGGGAGGGCAATCTTTGTTTTGGTCTGCACATAAAAAAACCTAGTGTAAAGACTCCCACCTTTCAAGATAGCATGTCTACTATCTCAACTTGCCTGACATGTTATTCCACCTGCCAGAAGCATGAACTTTTTTCCGAGGGTTGAGCCACAGCAGGACAGAAGCCAAATGTGTATCTCACGATATCACAGGGTGTGGTGTACAGAAGTGTTGGGGGATAATGGGACTGATGGCCCATGTACGGATCTCTGCTCTATTTCTGCTGCACCAGTGTTCTTTTTTGGGGTAAATGGACTGTCTTAGCCATAGTTATGGTTAAGGTTGCCAGGGGGAAGGTGGAACCCACAGGGTCAGCTGGAGGAGTGAGGAACCTGGGCTGGGACCTACGCTTTCACTCTCTGCCTTAAGATGTCAGGATTTGCATGGGGTCAGAAATCCCACTCTGGGTGGGAATGGTGAGGCTCCTCTGCCCAGTCTCAGCTGAAGTCTGTAATGACAAGTCCCCAACGTGCCCAGACACATGAATTACAGGGAATAACTGGAACATCCTCATCGTCAAAAAGGATGAAACTGTGGCTCCAGGTCAGACAATCTTTCCAGCAAGTTCTGGTTCTCCTAGGATGATGGTGGTGTGAGAAATGGAAAGTCAGGGGGGTCCATTTTCAGAATATAGTATTTGGCCTTAATGGGGATGTAAGACCTAACTGAACCCATTTTAACTACAGCCATTTCCTTTGACCTCCTCAATTTTAAAATTAGCCAGTCGCTTAGATTGTAGCCCCAAGATACTCCCATCAGAGCCAGGGGCAGTGCTGTGTTAGAGATAAAAACAGGGACTTCCCACCCAATTGCCTGCATCCCAGGCTCAGTAGCATGCCCTTCTACAGAAGTAAAGTTTGCCTTGATGAGCTACGTACAAGCTTGTGTTTGATTCCTTGCAGCATCATGGTATTTCTAACAGTGGGAAGGTGTAGGTGAGTCCACTGTGCCTCAAATCAGAAAACTCTGATGGGCCTTCCTAGAGTCTACAGAACCAAACCCTGCTGTTTGGTTCATGCTGTGTCATTTGGAGGTAGTCATTTGAAAGTGAGTTTTACGGCCAGCCCCTTTGCCCTAGGACTCAGGCGTAAGTCTATAGGGGCTGAGTCAGTAGGCATGCAAGGAAAAATGTCCTTCCAAAATGACCTCTGCTCTCAGACATATGTGCACCCTCCAGCTTTCCAGACCTGGTGGTCTCTCTTTCCCACACCTCACCCTTCCCAGGTGACACTGAGCTCCTTACCTAAGGCTGAAATCCTTGCTGTAGCCAGGGAACTTGTCATGTGCCTAAGAACCCTCTTCTCTGAGATTCTCCTGTTTCTGTAGCCTGGTTAGAAAACTTTCCCCTCCTCCATTTGATCCTGACACTGGGGACTGGAATTTTGTTCCCTAATGAGAGACTGGAGTGATGGGAACATGAAATTAAGGGAATGATTCTCTAATAAAATGGGCCCTTTGTGCTGACCCCTACAGGCATTCTCTTTGGAAAAGCAATATACTTGCGGCCCTGACCGGCTTAAGTGGACAGGATGTGTTATGTTCCTCAGGAAACAACCTGTTGTCTGCAGGAGAAATGCAGACACCAAGATGCTGATGAGAAAAACCCAAGTTACCCCAGAAGACGAAGAAGAGATCTGTGATTCTTAAATAGACCAGACCCCAGAACTCAGGGTGGTGAGGGCAATTCTCCCTAACTCACCATAAAATAGGTAAGAACAGGTTCTAATGAGAACAGGTCCTCATCAGCCAAAGTGACCTAGAGTTGTCATGGCAGTGGGGACTTGAAAGTCTGATGTCATTCAGTCAAAAGATGAAAGGTGGATCTGGGTGGGACTCTCTGGAAACTTCCCTGGGACCCCCAATAAAACTGGAGGACAGGAGGTGTGTGTAGTTCCTCTACTTTCTGAGAGGACCTACTCTCTCCCAGGAGAGGGTCCCCCCTCCTCTTTTCAGAACTTTCTAGTAAATCCATACCTATAACTCTGAGTGACTTGTCTGAAATATTTCTGACTTGATCACAACAATCCAAGTTTAAAGGAAGGGATTTGTGCTGCCTCCGTTTTCCAAAAGGTACCAGCCCTGTAACAACACTTCTGTTCTACCACATTAGTAAAGCTACATTCCACTGACTCTAAGATGCACATTGCCCCCACGTTTCTCTGAAATAGAGCTGCTTCTTACATTCAATGACTTCTTAAATAATCGGTAGTATTTTTCTTTCAGAGTGATACACAAAATAACAACATCTTAGATATGATGCATTGGGGTAACAAAAGACCACGTTATCTAAATTGAGAGAAGTCTTGCTTGAAGCAGAGATTTTTTTTCTTTGAGCCTGCATCAGAATCAGCTAGAAAATTGCTAAAATGTGGATTGTTGCCTCATCTCAGGGTTCCAACAGGTCTGAGGAAAGGGACCAGGGAATTTGCATTTTTAACAAATTCTCAGGTGAGATATCATTGCTGGTTTGAGGAGCAGGCTCTGAGAACCACTGGCTAAAGGTATCTCTTCTCTCTGGGGCCCACACCCAACCCTGTGTCCATTTCCCAATGTTCCTCTTGAGAAATGCAAGTCTCCCAGCCTCCCCCATGCTCCTTGATGTGCTCTCCTTCTGCATCTTCAGGATGATTGAAGTGGTTCTCTGGTCTCATTTTCTTTGATTTTTCCCTTATTTCCTAGAGTGAGCAACCACCTTTACTGTGATGCCTTTTTATTATATAATTGCTCCATTTCCATCCTTGATAGTGTGATGCCTACAGAGGTTTCCAGTTGTGTTCCTAAATTCCTGAACATCTCTGGTTTCTCTAACAAGCATCGGTCTTTTCAGTAGTGCGGGGGAATGGAACTGATCACATTATGGTATGTGCATGTATGAATGTGTCACAATGATTCCCACTATTATTTGCAATTACAAAAGGACCAATGGAAACAGTTTTTAAAAGTATCCAAATTAAACACACACACACACACACACACACACACACACACACACTCCATGACTATGGTGAAAATATGGAGAAACTATAATTATCTGACATATTTGCTAAAGTCTAAAAAAATATAGCCTCACCTCAGGGTTCCAACAGGTCTGGGGAAAGGAGAATACATTCCTAATACTTCAGCAAAGTGTGTCTTTAATAAACTGTATGTGTGTATAGCCACTTCGGATTTAAAAAAAAAAAAGATGTGGTAGTTTCTTGTTGCCAGCTAAAGTACAGGAAGATGCCCAGTTAATTTTTAATTTTAGAAAAAAAATTTCTGGGTATATTCCAATAAAATATTGTATGAGACATTCTAAAAAGATTCATTATTTATCAGAATTCAAATCTGTTTTTTGTTTTTATTTACTATGTCTCTGAGCTCAATTTTACCTAGGAAAAATAAAAATAAGAGCATGCCCACCAAGAAGCTTTATACAAGAATTCTTAATAAATTGTATATATGTATTACATTTATGTATATGTTCAAAGTAGGCAAAAAATTAAAAATAGCACAAATGTTTATTAACAAGTGTGGGCAGATGAACTGTGGTATATTCATATAATGAAATGTTGCTCAGAAAGAAGAGGAGTGTTACAAGAAAATCCAGTGTAAAAGAACCAACTGCAAGGAGCCGTGAGACCAAAGAAAGAGACCAGCAGATCCAGGATCACACAGAGTGCAATTTATTGAAGATCTACTGATAGAAGCATCGGGGCAGTAAGACCAGTAGATCTGGCAATGTGGATTAGAAGTAGAGGGCTGATAAAGTTGTCAGGAAAGAATGACTCCGTTCAAGCCAGCGCATGTGTGGCCCCATTCCAGGCCCTGATGGAGTCCAGTCGTAGAGCACCATATACCACTCCCTTGGTTCCATAGTGTTATGGCATCCTGGGAATCTCTGTGAGGAAACAGACCAGAGTGACTCAGGAGCAATCATAGTTGTTACAATTCAAGATGGCAGCAGCCGGATCCACTTGGATCCATAAAAGGATCAAATTGAGGACACAGCCTACAATGTAAATGTATCTCAAAATATAACACTAAATGAAAGAAGTCTTACACATAAGATCACCTAGAGTACAATTCCTTTCATATTCAGTTCTACAATGGGCAAAATACTTCTGTAAACAATCAACTGTGGGGAACAGTCTCTTTACAGACGTGTAGAACAGGGAGCACTTTCTAAGATGGGTTCCATATTTTACCAAAAGCTTACATTATGGTATGTGCATATACATTTTTTTCTTCATATTTTCAAGCATTTTTCAAGACATGTACAAAGGTACCCTTAAGGTCTGTAGAGTTAGTTCAATCGTAACTCTCTCTTGCTCATTGCACTGTGTTTAAGTTTTACCTGTGAATAAAGGAACACACATACAGCTTGCTAAAGACACACTTTGATAAAGTATTAAGAATGCATTGTCAGGACATCTACATTAATTTGAAAAGGATGGAAAAATAAAATAGTTTGATGGACTGGTAGGAATCGATAGAAACAAATGAACAAAATGTTAATTATAGAATTTTCTGTTTAAAATTTTTGTAATCAAAAGTGGGAAAATTGGGTTAATGAGAGTAACCTCTTCGTGCTCCCATGCAGCACCTCTGCCATAATTGGTGGAAAGAAAGAACCCCTTGGTTTGTAAAATAAAATGTTAAGAAGGTAAGCCTTCTGTGCATAAATGGTAGCTGACTGCGTGGTCAATGAGCACATCTTTGGGTTTCCTTGTATATCACGGGTTTGCATATGGGAGTGGGTAGGGAACTGTTCTTTCCTTCTGTGTATCCTGTATCATAATTAGCTCTCCTGTCCAAAGGATGAGTGGTGAGGGGCATCTTCACACCCCTCAGAACTAGAAAATAGCAGTATGTACAGGGATTGCCCCATGAATGCCTTGTGCTAGGAATCTGGCAGAGCCCAGATCTCATTCTCAGTCACCCTCAGCAGACTGAGTCACTAGCATGGCACTGGGGAGCCAGGCACATTCTGTACCTGATATAGAAAAGGAATAAAGGAAAAGCCATATTATGAAATCAACAAGGAGTAGGGAAAAACATTTTTTAGGAGATTGTAAGTGTGCCTTCATGTAGACTTATTTCGTAAACCAGAAAGCCACAATAATGTGACAGACCCTAAATGGGGAATCAGTTGAAAAACACTTTGCAGAGATTTATTTTCATTATGCTCCAAACTGAATGTCTGTGCTCATTAAACAGACTGGTGTGATAAATTATTTTGGGCCCTGGCACACGATCACTCCACCAGAACAACTGACACTTGGGAAGAGAACTGTGTTAGTCTGGCCCTGGGATCCTGCCTGAGACTGATCTGTCTCCAGGGAGGTTGACGGGAGGGCAAGGGTCCTTCATCTGAATCAGCTCCGCTTGTCAGCTCTTCCTCCCATCCCTGTGCCCTCCCCCACACCTGTATTCACAGGCACAATATAGTCACAGTGGCATGCCTACCCCCAGTGGTCAGACCAACCTATTGGTGCTGGATTTATGCAAGTGAGAGGAAGAGTTGGGCAGAGGAGATGCATGGGGTCTGCACCTAGTGCCCACATCCCCTCAATCCTATGAGTCTTACCCACATTCCATCACAGGGGCAAGGCTGGTACCAAGCACACACATGTACCCAGTGTCCACAGCCCCTTCTTCCTGTACATCCCAGCTACAGTCATGAGACAGAGATGGACACAGGCACAGGCTTGAGGTCTGTACTCAGAGGTCCTGGCTCCTTCTTCCTGCACATCACAGTTGCAGTCACAGGGGAAACCTGCTCACTGGCAGGAGCTCAGGCTGTGACGTAGAGTTAGTTCAATCATAACTCTTTCTTACTCATTGATATTATCATCGCCTTTGTTATGGAGGAAGAATGCAAGCAACTCCTCTCACCATTGACTCTCATTATCTCATTTAATCATCTTAACAAGCTTAGGAGGTCCTATTGGAGGAAATTCCCAAATGACCCTTGTACACAGAAGGGCCTGTCCTTAGTTACAGGTTAATTCCTTTGCATTCCCATGCCCTCTGAGCATGGAAGGAAGGAGTGTATCCTATGTCCAGTACATTTGGGAGCAGCAGCAGGCTCATATGCAGAGAGAACTTACTCTCTCCTGTTCATCTGTTAAGAATCTGACCACCGATGGGATCCCAAATTGACTCTGCACCTTCATGCCTTGGGCTCTCGGGCACAGAAGGCCTGAAGCTCTCCTCTTGCCTGAGACTGAATAGGTAGGTCCAATCTGAGAATGCCTTGCCTGTGACTGAGTGGGCTGGTCTGATCTGGGAATAAATTGAGGAAGCCCCTCATCAACATCTCTATCACTACCAGTGATATTCCCACGTCCAGCTGTGTAGCTCCTAATTCTCTGCATCTCCCTTGGCCAGAGCAAACACAAACAAGGAATTCTATACCAATGGGGCAAGCAGAATGGTGCTATGACCCTGAGCTGCTTCACTCTGTTTCTGCAGCCAGATGGATGGTGGCCAGTTGCCTTTGACAATTGGAGTTGGGCAGGGGCATGGAACTTGGAGAAAAGGGGTCTTCAGAGGACAGACAATAACTTCCTAGAGAAAACAGGTCTTGGGATGGCCCTTGTGGGATGGTGAGTGTATTATAGATTGATTATCCTAGGTTATTTATGAAAGCGACGAATCTCTCCATGGTGCTAGCAGGCTTACTGTGGTGTGAAATTTAGCTTGGTGGCCTGATATCCTCATAGTGGTCCTGCAGAGTCTATCTTATCCATGCTTTTTTTGTTGCTTCCTTATGCCATCCTGATCCCAAAAGACCCCAATCAATCAATAGACAGGAGAACTGAGAACTGTGCTGTCTGCCTCCTGTATAAGCTGCTTCTGAAAGGCATGACTTGTGCTCCAGGAGCTTTGGCCTGCAGTCAGATATTTCAGGAGGAGGGATGCTGCAGAGGTTTTTGCATGCACCTGTGTTCTTCCTAACTACTATAAGGAAGTATAGACTGTGCTGTTTATGTTCATCTTCTTCTTTTAGCTGTTGTCTCTTTTTTATTATGAAGTATTTCAAGCACATGACCAAATGGTACAGGATGATATAATGAATACACACCAGCAGCTTTGACAAGTTCTAATAAGTTGTCCATTAGCTTCAGATTTTCAAGAAATGAAGTAACCCAAGGGCCCTACCTACCCCTCCAAGGGTATTTCCGCCCCTCATTCTAGAGCTACAAACTTCTGTGAGTTTAGCTGAGAATCACAAACAACTTTCCTGCATATAATTCTATTCTAGAAAAATAAGTCTGTAGCTTTAAAATGTTAAACATATAGCATGGTACTCTATATACTGTTACACAGTTTGCTTTCTTCAGTGAATAGAATTTTTTGAAATTTCAATATATTCATGGAGGCATTAGAATCTTTCAAACTGTTGTAATTGATTATTGGCATTTTTCTATTATTCAACCCAACAGCTCTGGTTAACAAATTTTAAATTTAAATAACTTTATATTGGAAAAAATGTATTATAATGAATTTATAATGCTGATGGTCACTTAAGGTAAGTCTAATTATTCTCTACTAAGATTTGGATAAGTTTCTTAAAGGGCCATGTGCTAAAAGGTTTGGTGATCAGTCTGCAGTGCTATTGGGAGGTGATGGTTCCTTTAAGAAGTGGGTCCTGGAGGGAGAAGTTAGGCCAACTGGGGGTGTGTTCATGAACAGGACTGTGGGACACCAATTCCCCATCCTTATCTGTCTCTGCTTCTCTCTCTCTCTCTCTCTCTCTCTCAATCTCTCATGCATGCTCCTGTGTTCTTCCTAACTACTGTAAGGTAAGAAGATTTATCTCCAGCATGTGATGCTACCATGAGGTACTATCTCATCACAGACACAAAAGCAACAGGCCAACCAGTCACAGACTGAAACCTCCAAAACTGAGAGCCAAGATAAACCTTTCTTTTTTTAAAGTTGATCTCAGGTATTTTGTTACAGTAATGGAAATCTGAATAACAGGCTCACAGTAGAGGGACTCAACCAAGAACTAGGAGTTGACCACCAGGCTTCCTGTGCACTTGTGGAAGCGGTTTTGCAAGAATCCCTTTATGTTTTCCCATTTCTATCATCCCTTGTCTTGACCCACAATTTATTGACACTATTTTTTGTTTGTTTTGTTTTCATCTGAACACAGATTTTTCTAAAGTTCTGAATAACAAAAGATTGAGAGTCCAGATAACATTATACTAGTCTGTTGTGTTTCCATAGTTAGAGTGCATGTCAATTTGTGTTTTTTTTAGATTTGTGCTACCAGATAAAGTATCACCATATGCATGTGGATATTGAAATTAATTAAAATTAAACTTATGTTTGAAAAAGGTTCTCAGTCTAACTAGTAGCCATATTCAAGCCACTTAACAGTGACAATGTGGCTAGTGGCTTAGACAGTACAGCTTTTTCACATCCCAGAAACTAATGTTGAGTCAATTTCTGTTTTGCTTAATATTCTCATTTCATCAGATTCTGACCTTATATTTTTAATTTTCTTTCTTTTCACTTATTCCATTAGTTAAATATTCTTTTTTTATTATTTCTTAAATTAAGATACTTAGTTAGTTAATAACTAAGAATGGTGGTTTTTCCTTGCTAATATAAACATTTAAGGCAATGTCCTTTTAGGTTCTACTCATTTGCATCCCACACATTTTTATGTAACATCGACATTATTATTTACTATTCAATTCATTCAGCAAATATTAGTTAGGTACATGCTTTGGGTTCCGTGTATGGCTCTGGGTGCCATGGACGTAGCAGTGAACAAAAAAACATCCAAACTCTGACGCTCAAAGAGCCTACATTCTAATGGCTGCGGGGAGAGGTGTGTGCAGAACCCCAGGGGCCTCCTGATCTCTGTTAGAAGGAGATAAA